AGAAAGTCTACAATAATTTCAATTCAACATACCAATCCAAGACTTTTTCCTGTCAATATTCAAGACACAAATTTAAGACTTTCCTATAAATATTTTAGTCAGCAATTAATACAAATATTTGTCCCCACCAGCAATATCTAAGGAATATATAAAGAAAACAATTTATAGGAATATTTGTTTAATTTTGTATAACTCAATTAAGGGATACTGTTTGAATTGTGCTCTTTGAAGGTCAAATCAGTAAAAATTATCACCTTGGTTGACATACACATACACAAATGGGTCCTAGTTAATGATAGTTAAAACCATTTTAACTTTTCTAAAAATACTAAGTTCAAGAATTGGAAATAAAACAGTTCTATAATACCTCTTATTAAGCAGTTTAGTTAAATAGAATAATGAAATAATTGTAATGAGATGCTAATACTGTTATTTCCAGCTAATAAAAAATGACTGATGGAAGAGGGGTCTTTACTGGTAATTATTTTTTTTTAATTACTTGAATTTTTCCACTGGAAGTCTAAAAGTTTGTCATTAAGTATACAAGAGGACAATTAAGTCTGGGCCACTTATATGAGCCAAGAAGACGTCAGATGAGAATTCTGAAGTTACAGTCTCATTTCCAGGCTATAGTAAGTGTATCTCTTCTTTTCAACTGTTTAATAAAAAAAAAAAAAAATCAAGGCAAGTGTTAGAACTACCAATCAACACCAAAATGCTAAGTGGGAGCCATTTTACATTTGCCTTATTCTATAAAAATGCTCACTGCCTCCTAAATGAAATCAGGATTCTTCTTGCCTCTCTGTATGTCAAAATAGTACCTTAGTAGTGGACTATGGGTGACTTAGTGGTGGATGCCTACAGTGTGATATGAGATAGGGGTATGCAAATATTACTTCAATTAAAAATAAAAGTCACCTAGATTAAGGTAATTTTTTTTTTAACCATACGTTAGTTTAAATTGCTTTTTAACTGCCAATGTCAACATGATACTTAGGCTTTGGGAAAGAAGAGGGATGCAAATTATTATCAACATCTGTAAGTTGTGGCTTATACAAAGATAAATGTCATGATTTCAGTTTTTGTATGGGAAAAATAGCATATTTATATGATGGAGAACTATGGGTACATTGGTGGTGGGGTGGTGACATGCATCTGAGAAGGCATGATCTTATGCCTCTGGACCAAACCCCTTGTTGTAAATCAATAAAAACAAAATGTATGTTTATCACTTTCATTTTTCCTCATCTTGACTCAAAGAGATCCTGAAAATTTTACTTTCATTATTATTATTTTTTTTAAAAGATCCTGAAAGGGCCCTCCCTAGTGGCACAGCGGGTTAAAGCACAGCACTAAGAAGCTAAAGCCGCTTCTGCATGAGTTCGACTCCCGCCTGCCCCGGAGGTGACCACATGGTGTGGCAGACCTCTCCTGACCCGCCCGCTGCTCCCCTCAGCAGTGTACTTCGTCGATCTGCCTGTTCTGCTCCCCACTCTGTCTCTGGTGAAGCCTCTCACCGTCCCTGAGCCTCTGGCCTGTACCCCAGTTCTGTATGCAAAAATAAATAAATCTTTAAAAAAAAAAAGATCCTGAAAAATTTAAAACACTAAAATTAAATAGCCACTGAAAACATCAATAGCCTTAAGTTTACCTGGTATGAAATAGATGTATGGGTTTATCAACCGGTTAAGCACACTGATATTGTGCTATGTGACTGTACCACAAAGGCCATGAAATCTTGTGGTAACTGCTATGCTTCTAGTCTTTTATTAAGAAGTCAGAAGTCTTTAGATTAAAAAAAAAAAAAAAGACATCAGCTTATATTCTGGAGCTGGAGAAATAGATTCTACATAGATACAGGAGCTGAAAGCAGCTCAATAGTCCAAGCAGGATGGTAATTAACTAATCTAACCAGATCCTCTCTCTTTAGGGTTATTTCTGACATCTGGTAGCAAATAATTTACTCTATGAGTTATGTTGTTAATTATTATAGTGCTATTACAGTATTAATAGTATATTACTAGATAGTAACATCTTAACTCTAACTTGTGTATAGGTTTCTTCTGCTATTTTAAAAGTAGAACTTTTCTATTTGATATGATCTGGCTGGTGCTTTTTGTTTGGGGGCAGGGAGCCTGAGAATACTAAAAAATTTTCCATGGAAATAATGGTTCCCAGAATCTAACTCCCATTGACCCCAATACCCAAAAAGAAACATTCTGCTTTCTGATAAAGGGGAAAACCTTACAGTACAAAAGCAATTATAGGTCTCCTTTGCCAAAATAGGAGCAACTGCTGAGTTAATTTTTGCAGCAGGATCAGTTTAGTCTTCTTTCTCTACTGAATAAAACTACCGCTACAAGGTGGCATATATCAATAGCTAACACTTCAGTTAGTGTGTATTTTTGTTCCTACCTACCCAGCTCATTGGAGACAATTTCTTCTCAACTGGCAGTGAAAATAAAATAATTCCATGACCTAATATTGAGGATCTCTTGACTCTCTAGCTTATGCCATAATCTTAAATTGCAGGAAGGCTGGTTTATTTCCACAAGATGGTCTCTGACATTTACATTACATAATACTTAACAGGATGAGAGAAATTATCTTGAATACAGTGTCAGTCACTTGAAATCTATAGCTGACCACAGGTCTAAAATAAAGATTGGCAAGCTATTTATTGTCCTACTGTGAAATTCAGCCACTACCTGTTTTTACAAATAAAGTTTTACTGAACCACAGTCATGTCCACTTGTTTATAGCAGGCTGTCCTGCTACAGCACCAAAGTAGAGCAGTTATGGTGGACTGCTTAGCTCACAAAGCTTAACATGCTATTTGGCCATTTATACAAAAAGTTTGTTGAGCTCTAATCTACAGCATGTTATTACCTCTTGGAAATGAAGAACAGCTTTCTGGCCTTAGCATCTCTTAAAAATTACATGTGGCCTGCCTTCATACTTTTACTACGTAAATCAAAAAAACTGTTAATTGAAAGTAAAACTTGGAGCAGGAGAAAGCTTTCTAACATGGGCAAGCTACAATAATAAATGGTTTAGCTGCTCAGGCCTACCCTGTGATATTGTTGCATTAGGATGCTGATCAGAATGCTAGTAGACATGTCCTACATGTATGATTAACAGACCATGCTTCTGGTGCTCTAGGGAAAGGCCAACCTACTTTCAGCAGATAGTAATTTTTTGGTAAATAGTTCTTGACTAACCTCTAGATTCTAGTAGACAGCAAATGTCTAATACCAAGGGAAACTAGGTGACTATATGAATAATTTATCATAAATACTATTATCTGATCTACCTAATCACAGATCCAGCATGCTTTCAACAAATAATGTGGTATGGTTTATAAAGGTACCTAAAGCACACTGGCATAGGCTAATCAAAATTCTTACCTGCAGTAGGCCTCCTCCCTCTCCCTCTAGCAGGGTTACTTTTCATAGAGGTGTTCCCTAAAATTTAGTTAATAAATTTGAGATCTCTGAACTGAGTTCACTTGCAATAGAACTAGCCAAAAATGGACTGCTAAAGCATTGAAGTTCTTTCAGAAATGATACCGAAGGATAACATAGAAGAAATATACTGATCTGGCAGAATTTCAAACCATTATCCCTTACAGGAAGAAGTCTACTGTCAGTTCTTACCCATTTTGGGGCAGTAGGTAATGGTTTATCCAGATGGATGTGGAACTGAAATACACATAAGAATTGCTGACTTGAGGAAAGATAATGTAGATGGGCCTCCAGAAAGGACACATTCTCATGTCTTATTTGAATTTTTGCCAGAGTGTTTACAACTGCAGGAAAGTTTCTCAATAATCATACATACAGGATTCCAGCTATATCTTCCCTCCACAATCTGATACTTCCTCAGTGGGTTTATGAATGACTACAGTGGTAGTGAAAGAGGCTGTATAAGGCAGTGGTTATAAAAGTCCCAATGGACTTTCTTTTCATAGGGCCCTAGTGACTAGCCACTGCTGGCTAGTGTTTACTTTATCAGCATATTGATAAGCCCTTGATTTGTTACCATATCTTCAGGAAACCAGTTTGTTACCTAATAGCAGATTAACTACACTTGAACTCTTCCACTGCTGAAGGGACAATATTCTATCTACATTGGTATTGCTACTTCTTGAGGATTTCGATTGGCCTTTGCTGTCTTTTGCACATTTTACACCTCCACCATGTGTGATATTAAAAATTCCTTGTATATCACCACTACAGTATTACATAGCATGCTTTCATGAACCCATTTCACAGAGAAAGATCAGACAAGTGTCTGGTGACAATGGTAAGCTCTAGACTCAAGTATCTCTATCATCAAATAAAATGATGAGGTAGATCATTATATACTTAAGAGTCAAAACCAGTTATGGATATTACCTTGACAATTTAGGTTGCTATCTTTTAGGACTGTTATATTTGTTCTGCCTCAGCAACATATATTGTGCCAGAAAATATGGCATTAACCTTTCCATAGGCAAAAAATACAGGCCTAAGAAACATGGGGGAAGAAACATGAGTAGATGAAGAACACTACTAAATTATTTTTTAAAAAATTGTGTTCCTAGGTCTATGACTCGGGCTCAATTTGTGTAACATATACTAGCAAACAAATTAAAACTAGGAAACTGGAAAAGATGGTAGAATTACAATTTTATCTCTTTTTTAGTGGTTTTCAAAATTTTCTAGATGACTTTATACTAAACATAATTACTAAAGAGTGAAACACATCTAGTTCCAAAAACAGATTTTCATTGAAAATGACATCTAAGGAAAGTAAGAAGTGGCAGTGAAGGCAAAGAGTTGCTAACAAAAATGAGATAAGACAGGATAGTTTTCATTTTTCTTTGACAATGGTAACTATTTTGTACTCAAGAGCAATTATGGAAACATAAATATAACATTTCTAAAAGGCATGCATTGTAATTACTAATCATAGGTATCTATGTCCTCAGTATGTCTTGAAAAAAAAAAATTAGTTACCTTTGGGTTAAAATATCTACAGGACTGTGGTTGGGAGCCTCCAAATAGGGCTATGCGGTAGTCGTGTTTCTTTCTCCTAGGCCTTGTGCCTTCTACCAGTTCTTCTCTATCCTCTGGAGACAGCAGATGATATCGCATTCCACCTGTAGAGAAATGCATGGCAACTCTTCAAAAACTTCAGGCATTATAATGCTTGAAAAGGAAATATCCCAAGGCTATAGGGGGTTTTATTTCTGTAGCAGTTTTCTATTATTCTTCTACAGTATTCAAGGAAAGTGAGAGGGAGAGGCAAAAGTACAAGTAACCAAGTCCTGATCAGCTTATTTTTCCCAGTAATTACCATTATTCTAAATTTGCCAAACCTATTTACTACATATCATCGAATTATCTGACTCTCCAGGCCAAAACTACCAAAGTAATAATTATTGCAAAGTAGATCTCTTAACTCTGCTGTTCTCAATGTTAGCTGTAGATTAGAATCACCAGGAAAGTTATGAAATTGTACATGGGTCCTACCACAGATCAATTACATCAAAGTATATGGTATAAGGCTCAGGCATTAGTATTGTCACTTTGAATTGTGGTTTAAAGACCAGCAGCTTCAACATGTAGGAGCTTGTTAGAAACCCCAGATTCCAGAAGCTGCACTAGCTTTACAAAATCAGAATCCACAGATTGAACAAAATCTCAAAGTAATTTAGATGTACATAAAAACATGAGGTGTATTTATCAAATGCAACAAAAATTTACAACTATTGTGATCTAAAAGTGAACTCTTTCTCTTCTGGGCAGATGGGGCATAAAGGATGGCCAGAGCACACAGGGTAGGGCAAACACAGTGGTAGAATATTGGCTCACAGGGTATTTAGTCCAATATGCAAGCAGGTAACTTGCACCTGTGTCTGTGTCCAAACACATGTGAGTATGGTGAAGAGTGAAGACCACACACTCCCCCAGTTTTGTTGATCCATGTGACTACCCATTGCTTGGGGTAGTGCACATCAAGAAACTTCCTGGCAGCGAGAAGTTCTTAAAGAAGGAAAAGGTTTCCTGTAGTGGTCTAATTTTGATGAAACGGTTGAACAGCGTGCATTAAGTTCAATGAGAGCTTTGTTGATATGAACAGGAGTACCAAAGAAGGGAAGATGGTTGTGGAGGTCACCACAGTGCAGTGTTTTTCATCAACTTCACCGTCCCCATTTTGATCTAGAAGTGCTAGGTGTCTGGTCCATCCCAAGAACCTTTGATGAAGAGAGGGTGGCCATGCAGATCAAGGGATGTTTTATATGAAGGTCAGCCTGATCCAGGATTTCTCTGACAAGTGTGCTTACGGTAGAAATGAGTGAAATAAGAACCCTCTCTTATTCATTTATGTGAGTCCTACCTTCTGCCACCTTCATGCATGTTTACTGGAAAGCATTTATCTCATGGTACCAATGATAAGAAATGAGCAGCTTATATGGGAAAAAAAAAAAAAACTTTTACCATAGCAATTTCTCTGTCTCATAAATGGCTATTTAAAATTAGAAATTGTTTTAAGGTATCATATCAAGTCAATTTAGGAAAGGTAGACTGTTCAATAAATATTGTGATATGGAAAAAAAGGACCTGTGTCACATACTTTACTCTAAAGCAAATTCCAGATTAATAGAATATTGAAGTATGCAAAAAAAATCTGATGAATATACAAAGAGATAAAAAACAAGGAAGAAAAGAAAGAAATACAGAGTTTAAGTACACAAAATTTTGTTTAAGGTAAATTATTGCATGGTAAGATGAAAAGACAATGACATTCTAGGGCAACATTCATAAATTACATAAAAGACAAATTTAAATTTGTCTTTATTTAAAAAAATCCTAGTAATTAATAAGATTAAGACCAGCAATCTAACAAAAAATTAGATGAAGTCTCTGAATTCAGTTTACAGAAAAAAGAACTACAAACAAATCTTAAAAGATGCTTAATTGCTTTAGTTACAGAAAGAGTAATTAGAGTCATACTTCATGAGCTCAGACAACAGAAAGAGTAATTAGAGTCATACTTCATGAGATTGGACAAGATCAAACTGTAACAGAGGGTATGAAAAAGATACGAAAAGCAGAAACATTTATTACTATGAGGATGTGGAAGGGCACAACTATCTGGAGGGCAAGAGTGTGACCAACAAAAATGACAAATGCATACACCTTTTAAAATTAATTACCCTTTTAGGAGGTAAAAGGGTAAAATTAATTATCCTTTTATGGACCTAAATTTCAGTTGTGGAGTGGCCAAAAAGCATGGTATGTGCATACAAATATGGCATATCAGATTTGGAGAACAGTTTTTGAGTAAATGAAAATCAGTTTCAATGATATTCCATGTGGCTATTAAGAAGAATGAGGGGGCTCTCCCTGGTGGCACAAAGGGTTAAAGAGCTGCACTATGAAGCTCTCCACAGTCACTGCAGCACGAGTTCTATCACTGGCCAGGGAGGTGACCCACATGGCTCGGCAGACCTCTCCTGACCCGCCCACTGCTTCCCTCAGCAGTGTATTTCGGTGCATATGCCTGTTCTGTTCCCCACTCTGTCTCTGGTGAATCTTCTCACCCACCACACCTCTGACCTGTACCCCAGTTCTGTAAGCATAAATAAATAAATCTTTAGGAAAAAAAGAAGAAGAAGAATGAGGAAGGGTAATATGTACACCTGGAATAATCTCTAAGACATAATGTGGAATGAAAAAAAAAAAGCAAGATTTAGAACAGTACACAGAATGTGATACCATTTGTATTTTTAAAATTTGCCTGTGAGTGGTTGCATGCAGACTCAAGACATCTGTGGAAAAATATACAAGATAACAACAGTAACCTTCAGCATAGGTGATGAAGAAGAGGTAAGAACAGGGGTAGAGAGAGGCCCTCTTTACTTTTCATGTTTTTTACTTTTCATGTGTTTTTGAATTGAATATGATGTGCAGTGCATTGATCCCAAAGTAAACTAATTCTCAAAGTAAATTGCCTTGGACTTTATAAAGAAAGATACCGGGTTTGGAGAACAGTTTTTGAACGAATGAAATCAGTTTCAATTATTTAGCATTTCCTTCCATTGCAGTATAAGTACTCTGCATTAGAATAGCTAAGAAACCTCAGCAGCCAAGGCTCTAGGGCAGGGTCAGCATATTTTTTTATAGTCAGATAGTGAATAGTTTAGGTTTTTTTAGGCTACCTATGCTTCCTGCTACATATATTTTTAGCTCAAGGCTGGCTCTAGTCTGTGGAGAATCATTTACTGACCTTGCCCCTATCTTCTCAAACTAGGTCTAAGACAGCGGTTCCCTGAGCAATGACACCAAAAAATTTATTAGAAATCCCTAAATTAGGTCCCTCCCTGGTGGCACAGTGGGTTAAAGCGCAGCACTGAGAAGTGCAGCACTGAGAAGTTGGCCGTGGCTGCCCCTAAGTTTGATCCCCGTCTCTAGGTGATTCATGTCCAGTCACAGACCTCCTGTCTCGCCGCTGCTCCTCTCAGCTGTGTACTGATCAATATGCCTGCTGTACTCCCTGCTGTGTTTCTGGTGAATCCTCTCACCGCCCCTGCACCTCTGGCCTGTACTTCAGTTCTTGTATGCATAAATAAATCAATCTTAAAAAACAAACCCCAATTTCATACTACCCCAGATCTTCTGAACAGGAAACTCTGGGGTTTGCTCTAGAACACCACATACTCCACAAGTAAACTGGAATCAATGAATATAACATTAACAAGAAAAGACAGGGAGCAGGAAGGAAGAGACAATTTCCAGGCAACAGGACACAGGGTGAAAGTGGTTGACTTTGAGTTGTGGCTCCTCACAGGTAGGCTTTTTCTCTATGAGGATAGGGTTAGGAACAACACCTGGCATCTTTCTGAGCCACTCCTTAGGCTGATTTCTTTGGGTGTCAATCCTTTGAGCCTTAGCTATCATCATTCGTAAATTCTGAATAAAAACTTGCTCTGATCCTGTTACAGGACAGGGAGAGGGGACCTCAAAACCCCCAAACCTGCCCATTCTAAAAAGGTTTTGACATGCATCATATCCCAAGACAAACCATACTTTAGTGGGTAAGGCCTTCAATGGGAAGGAACTTTAATGCATTTGGTGTGCAATACAGAAAAGGGGAAGAATATAATTTTCAAATCAATCATCCAAAGTTACCCATCCCCTCATGGGTAAATGTCCAGCCAAATAGCCTCTGAGAACTGAAAGCCTGCCACAACTCTAAGGCACCTCCTGGTGGGGACCCATAGATGAGGGTTGAAACAACCAGGAGTCTGGAAGGAAAAGAGCAAAATCAAGATAAAAGCTGCCATTGTTAACCTCTCCATAGGTCTTTCACCCACATCTGTTTTAACCAGTTCAAGACCAAAAAACAAGCAGTTTCTTCACATGTCTCTCTGTTCCAAGTGTCTCCTTTTGTTCATCCTTCTACCTTCCTTCCCCAGTCTCCTCTCCAGCTTCTTCCCCTCCCTGCTCAGCTCTACCCTCCATTAGGTGGGGCAGGGAACTTGGAACTTCCCCTCTTCTAGTCCTTGGAGGTGATTCTGTGTTCTTCAGCTTTATTTTATATCTCATTATATTTTAGCTATTACATTATTTAATTTAGTTTTCTTTTTAAATTCCCCCTCTCAAAGGCAGCATTGGATCAGATGAGGCTAACTGACCATCTAGAGAAAGGAGGTTGGAGATCTTTCCTGCATTTAGTTCTGCCTTGTCCCCCAAAGCTTGAAGATTTTCAGCTGCTTGTGGTTCATCAAGGAATTTTAGAACAACCCAATTCCTTATTTTAAAAAAAGGGAGAGAAGAACAATGGGCCTCCCGATGCTTATCATCACTTAACATCAAGAAATGTAAAACAAAACCATAGTGAGATGCCCCCTCATACCCATGAGAATGACCTATGTCAAAAGGTCCAAAAACAAAAAGTGCTGACACTGGGTATAGAGAAAAAGGGAATCCCCTTCTACAACTATGGAAATGTAGACTGTCTGAGTTCCTATGGAAAACAGTACAGTAATTTTTCAAAAGATTTAAAAATGGATCTGCCATATGATGCAGCAATTCCACTCTAGGTATCTACCTGAATAATACAAAAACACTAACTCAAAGGGATATATGTGCACATCTATGTTCATTGCAGCACTATTTACAATTGTGAAGACATGGAAACAACTTAAGTGCCCAAAGAGTTGAGTGGATCAGGAAGATGTGGTATAGATACACAATGGAATACTACTCAGTTATTTAAAAAGATAAAATGTTTTCATTTGTGTCAAGATGGATGGAATTGGAGGGGCTTATGCAAAACAAAAGACATCAGAAGAAGACAAATACTGATGATTTCATTCTTATACGGATAATAGAGAAACAAGACAAAGGGACAGGGTCTCCCTGGTGGCCCCGGGGTTAAAGTCTCAGCACTCTCAAACTACTGCCAGCTACTATAGTACAAGATCAATCCCTGGCCAGGGAGGTGACCCACACGGTGCAGTAGACTTCTCTGATTTTGCCAGCTGCTCCCCACAGAAGTCTATTTTTGGAGACCTGCCTGTTTTGCTCCCTACTCTGTTTCTGGTGAGTCCTCTCACCCCCCCCCATATTTCTGGTCTATACCCCAGTTCTAGAATGCATAAATAAACAAATTTTTTTAAAAAAGAAAAGAAATCTGATTACAGAATTAAAGCTACCAGATAGGGAGGGAGTGAATGACAAGCAAAATGGTGGTGATGGGTGGAGAGGGTACCCGATTGTGGTAGAGGACTGTGGGTGCCTTGGTGGTAGCTTTTGTGTGGTAATGAACATTTGAAGGGGTTTGAACCCATATCGCTGTCTCATATACAGTGTTGTATACCATTGTTACCTCAGCAAGAAATACAATAAAACAAACTAACCAAACAACAAAAAATGCTGTTTTACTCATTAACCACAACAGAAAGCACACTGATAATGATGAAATATTTTAAAAAATTGTCCAATACAGACAATATGCTATTTATGTGTAGATAAAAAAATATAGAAGATAGGGCCTCTCTGTATTTCTATGAAATACAAAAAAAGCGAAACAGTTTAATGTATACAGAACTTTATTAAGTAGCATTTTTTACAGCGGTATTAAAGGTTAGGGCTTAACCGATAAGTCAAGAAAAACAAGTAAATTAAGAAAAGTGTGTCAATTATTAGCTTCAGTCCTCCCCTCCATTAAAAAAAAAAAAAGGCTGTTTAGGAAAGAAAATTTAATTACTTAGTATACTATTTACCTAAATAAAGTAAAAAAGAAAAGAGTAGAAATAAAATACAAGAAAGCTACCACATATACAAAAGGAGAAAAAGATAAATAATTTTTACCTTCTATCACATACATGCCTATACAGGGTTAAGTTTCCACCAAGTAGATAGCAGAGAACCTCACTGAATTAATTATCAGGAAGAGCAAAGTCTTGAATGTTTCTCCCTGGCTACTGAGTTTGATCCACTCTACAGTGTTTTAAACCAAGAGAAGTAGATTACAAGACCAGGTTATAAATGGATATTAAGACAACTTACTTATCACCATCTTAAGGCATTCAGGATTGTCTTGAATAAGTGGTTCAGCTTGTACTGTTTTACTTAAAAAATTCTTTGATATAAGAGGAAACCTGACTTTAGCAAGTATATCAACCATAAATGGCTGGCGATTAGGTTCATCATATTTCAACCACCTGACTGCAGCATCATAAACCTAAGGAGAAAAACAAAAACAGCAAGGCAACTTTAGATGGCGGCAGTATTTCTAGTTACTGATGTTTACTTACTCTCACACTACACCGAAGGGGAGAATATCATAAAGTCACTTATTCCCAATATTTTATTCAGATATCTCTTTTAACTCACCCACCCCCCAGTGCTCTGTTATATTTTAGAATAGTTAATACATTGCTCTACTTGTTCTTGTAGGTAGTATAATTTTAAATCTAATTGCTATTATATAATGACAGGAAGAATGTTATATTTGTGATCTTTTTAAAACAAAGTAGTTTCCTTTTAAAAAGGAGACATGAGACTTTAAGTTCCTGAGTTATTAACAGACTTACTTACTTTCCAGATAGTTACTTTACTTTAAGATATAAAAACCCCTATATTCATAGGGCCTCCCTGGTGACAGAGGGGTTAAAGACACTGCACTAAATTCTTATTCCTGGGACTTTGTTTCTTGTGGCACTTGGATATTTTTAGATACTTATTAAATAATAGTTTTAGATTTACAGGAAAGCAGCAAAGATAGTACAGAGTTCCCATGTTCCCTGCATCCAACTGTTAAGATATTAGATTAGCATGATCTAAATCAAAAGATACATTATTATTAACTAATCACCTAATATTCTTTTCTGTCCCACAATCCTTAAAGCTACTACATTATATTTAGTCATTTTATCACTTTAGGCTCTTCTACACCATTACAGTTTCTTAAGATTTTTGTTTGTTTTTGATGACCTTCTGAGTTCTGTAAGTGTCTCTCAATTTGGATTGTCTGATGTTCTTCTCAAGATCAGATGAGGGTGATCTTGACAATCACGAGGGTGACATGTCAATCTCACTATTTTGTATCCAAGATGCATGTTAGTAATCAACATTCACTTTTCAAGCATAAAGTAGAATTCATCAGATTTCTTCAGTCTAAAGCTACTTGGGCCATGAAGAATACTGGCTGGACAAAAGAACATGATTCTTTGTAGATCTTTTATCTTTTATCTTTATAACAAAAATAACTCAGAGCCTATGACTTTCCTTAGTTTCCTATTGTTAGTATAACAAATGATCACAAACTTAGTGGATTATAATATAGAAAAGGATGTGAGACTTAGGAGTTAAGTAAATACTTGCATATCAAAGTGTCCCTCTACCCCCACCAGACTTCCACCTCTGGCAGTTTACCTGACTGTTTTGGAGGTGAGAATCCAAAATGGGTGACAATGAGCTAAAAATCACTCTGTCAGCTGGGTTGACTGAAGGCTTTAGAGAAACCTTCTCTTGCCTTTTCCAGTATTAGCAGCAATCAGCGTTCCTTGGCTGGTGGCCCATCCTCCATCTTCTAAGACAGCCCTGGCTGGTCAAGTCAAGCCTTTCTTACACTGTATGTTTCTGATACTTCCTCTTTTGTCTCTTTCTTCCACATTTAAAGATACTTATGATTATGTAGGCCCACCAGAATAATCTCATCCCAAGATTCTCAACTTAACCACATCTTTTTAGTCCCATTTGTCTTATAAGATAACATATTTAAAGGATTTAGACATGAAGATATTGTTTTGCTTAGCATGTAGCCTCTCAAATACCTTGTAAACACTCATGATTGCTCTGCCTATGAAACAGAATTCGAATACTTTGTTTAATGTAAAGAACACCTTCTCTCCTAGCATGATTCTTTTCCTTGCCATGCATCCAAATGAGGTAGAAAAAATAAATAAGGACATTTTTACTAGGAAAAAGACAAGAATGTAATTTAGCCACCTGATCCTCAGCTCTCACAGTTAGAGTATCCTGGTTGAGAAGATGCGTGACTCGCTTCACATCAAGTTGCAGAAATTCATCCGTTTTGTAAACTTCAGTAAAATGCTGATGGATAAAGTCATCTGCAGTTGCTTTCAATTCAGGACAGTCCAGACACTCTGCTAGCACACTTATACCTAAATACAGAAAGAATATAAAAGAACAGAATGTCGAGTTTTAAGAAAAGCAAATACCATTCAAGATAAATTATGATTTCAGGGAAATAAGACTGACTGAATTTCATAAATTCAGCTACCATGGGTTGCTTTATCACTTGTAGAAGTTAAATTATTGGAAGCTTTGAGCAAAGAGAATTGACAAATGTTGAGAACAGGAATTCCATCTGCTCTAAGGGAGAGCTATGTTAAACAGAAAGCAAGTTCCCTGAGTACTGCGCAGCTACATACACTTAGCGCAACTATGTTTGCCACAGGCTTAGCTAGCGTTTCAGGCTGCTAGGCTTTCCTTCCTTCCAGCTTTGTAATCAATGATGGCAGAAGGCACCCATTTAGGGTAACTCCTACATGGTTTCAGAAGCCCAAAGCCTAAAACGTTTTTAGCATCATTTGCTCCAGATTCCACACTATGCTTTGTGCTGTCATACTTACTCCCTTTCTAGTTGAATCACCCCAGGAGGAAATTTAGAGTGCCAGGAAGTTAGGAAAATATATTTAACTTATCATCTTCTAAAAACTTCAAGTGATTACCCTTTTACAATAAAATTTTATGAGACCTTTATTTAAATAAGTGGAAACAAATTTAAATCTCAGGAATATAAATCTTATTAACAAATGGAGCCCCAAACTATAGCCCAGGCATTTGGAAAGATTCAGCCCAGAATATCTTTCTTAGATAGATGGGTTTAGAGATTGGTTTCCAATTCTTGATATAGGGATCTTTGTGTAGGCCAGGGCTGCCTCAAAAATAAATAAATAAATAAATAAATAAATAATTCATCAGTATATTCACTTGCATAGCTATTTCCCCTCCTGCTCCAACTTGCCCAATTCTTTTTCACAATGCCAAGTATAATTTCATTCTCATACCTTTTATGTGGCTTTTATATCCATCACCCCCGCCTCTCCAATTTCTTCCTGCTTCCTTCCCACCTGCCTTCCATTATCTTTTTCTCTGCACTCACAGTGGAAGTATGTGCTAGACAAAGTAATGAGCTGTCAGTAGGAAAGGAGCCTACAAAATCACAAATAAGGAAGCTTGCAGTGTTTCTCAAGCCTCTCTCTTAACATCAAGATGTAGAAATTCATCAATTTGTAAACTGCCTGTGTGTTCCTGTCATCAGCACCCCTATTTCTTCCATGGGTAAAAATTGTTATCACTGGTTGAATTCTCAGGTTTCTCCCTTTGTTCTCTTTGATTCCACTTTGCTTTCTCTCTCTTTCCTAACACTTTTACCCTGATAGTCTTGGCCTTTGAATCACAGCAAGGATAGAAAAAGTAATTACAAAGGTCAGTTATGTGCCACTAAGGATCATCTCATATTTAAAACTGATATCATACCCCTAAAACTGATTCTGATCAACTTTCTCTGCTTCTTCTGACACCAAACATATTTACATTATTAATAGTATGTTTTTTTTTTAAATTATTGCATTTAAAGTGGGGTGGTACATACAGTACTCATTTAATTAGCATCTTAATTTACAGACTAGGACTCTTAAGTTTCTAGTACTAAACAGTTCACATATTTGACAATGCAATGAGGCAGCATGATGCAATAGTTAAGAAAAATATTACTTGAATTACAATCCCATCTTCTCCACAAACATAACTTCAGTTTCATCATCTGTGACAATTATGGCAATGATAAGTGCTTCACCAAGGTAACATTCATGTTTAAGTTATCACATATCATGATATGACTGCTAGAAATGCTTACTCCTAGTTCCAGATACATGAAGAGTTAAAACTTTTTACTAAGAATATTTTGTATCTTGGAAATACTGATTCAGGACTAATTGCCCATGTTAATATGTATTTCCATAAGCTCCTCCTAAAATATATTGCTATTAGATTTTTTATTGGACAATGTTTTTAAGATTAAATAAGCATCCTTAGCACCATGCTTCTTTTCTTTATTATACATTAAAGATTAAAAAAAAATCTGATCTCTTACCAAGACAATTTGAGGCATCAACTTGTTCTTTCAAAAAATCAACACACATTTTCTTCACAGGTTCAATCTGGTACTGGTTTGCTGCATCTAACAAAGACTGAACATTGTTGCTATTCACAGAAATTCTGTAATTAAGTTAAAGTGTCATTAGTTTCCTATAATTTTTTATTAATTAATAATGCTACTACAGAATATATCCTTACTAGTCCCTAAAATTAAATAAAAAAGAAAACCACTTCTCAGTTCTTGAGTTAGTATGGCATAGGATCCTCAAACATTTCTACCCTTGTAATTTTTAATTATGAAGAATTTGGAGCACAATAGCTACAACAATGCTTTACCATGACAGATCCCAATCTTGCTACTCCACAACAGAAATGACCCTTCTTAACTTACCTAGCAGTATAAGCAAATTCCACAAGTTGTTCAATAATGTCAGGCTCAGCATCTTTGAGTTCTACTTCAAAGGACTTTGATTCAAGCATGTTAGCTAAAATGAAGAAGTGTAAATAGGATGAGTAGTGCCACAATTTTAACTGACACAATATTCTGGATGATGTTAAATATGGAAAAGAATAATAGGACAAATATCTCAGATTCCTCAGAAGATTCCTCAGAAAGAGCATTATTATTTTTATAATAAATACACTCTCCACAGTTGAATTGTGCCTTAGTTAAAAATAATCAACCTTAAATCTTAGAAATTGCTGAATTACTGTACTTAAAAAAATTTCTAGTCAACAAAGGTATAAAGTGAGATTTAGTATTTCCAAACTCCTAAAATAACTTAGTAGCACTCATTTACTTTAGGTAAAATGTAAGCTAGAATGCAGTCTACTACATTCTAATGTAGTAAAGCCTCTAATGTAACTAGAATAAACTTATGAGAACAAGGTAATTTTTATGTATAGTCACTAAGACCTTGTAAAGCTCCATATTTCTCTAAAACCCTGGTAAGGAATCAGTATATTAAAGAGAAAATGAGGAAGAGATCCATTAAATAACCTAGCTTAACTTATAAAACAGTACTAATAACAGAAAGCAGTACTTGGACATAGTTCCCAGCTCCAAATCTAGGGTTCTTGCTAGAAAAAAATGTGTATGGTGTATATGTATCTGTTCTTTTGCCTTTCTAGCTGAAGATAAGAAAAAACAACAACAAAACACCCAGGCATTCAGTAGAAGCTGTAACTTGACTGATAAAGACATATAGCCTTTAGAGATTATAAAAGGACATTTGTCTTTTGATCAGTCATCAGCATTACCTAAGGTCTTCATTCTAGAAACTAGGAAAAGGGTTTATTTTCTTTCATGCCTAGTCCATTGTCATAGAAAAAATAATGATATGTTTTACCTTAAAATACTTACTTGTGGGAACTCCCTGGTGGTGCAGCGGGTTAAAGCACAGCACTGAGAAGCTAAAGACCCTTCAGCATGAGTTTGATCCCCGCCCCGGAGGTGACCCATATGGTGTGGCAGACCTCTCCTGACGCTGCTCCTCTCAACAGCGTCTTTGCCAGTTAGCCTGTTCTGCTCCCCACTCTGTCTCTGGTGAATCCTCTCTCTGCCCCTGTACCTCTGGCCTATACCCCAGCTCTGCATGCAACAATAAATAAATCTTAAAAAAAATACTTACTTGTGAACATTAAGTTAAAAAAATGACTGGCTGCAGCAAGAACAACACGATGAGCAGGTATCTTTCTTTCCTGGACCATAAGGATCACATCACACAGTGTTTTCTGATCAAGAAAGAAATAAATTAGAAGGGGTTCATTGGGCCTAGCTTAGCAAACATATAAACAAAAGGGGTGAAGTAAAGATGCTTATACTCAGAAAAGATTAGGGAAACCAAAAAGTTTTTTTCCTGACACAAATTATTAATTCTCTATGGGGACATAAATGACACAGCAGCAATATCCTTGATGGTTTTTCAGACACAGCAATCTATTTTCTTTCTCAGTTATCTATGCTTAATAGAATGGACATTGGATTTCCCAAGTAGATTTTGAGATCAAACTTGAAATATAACAGGTCAGATAGAAGAATGGACAAGCTGACTTTTCTTATTAACACTTCTCTCCAACACACTTCTGATAGGAGCTAGAGAGCAGCCACTTTTAACTTGTGTGTCTCTTTAGGTTGCTGAAAGAATGCAGGTCTATTTAAATAAAATGCTGGAAAAATGAAATAATAAAGAAATAAATTAAGGTTTACTGGAATCCTTAAAGATTAATTTTCAAGCAAAAAGCCCCCATATTTTTTGTCAAATAAAATTCCAATGTCTAAATTAAAGAAATGTATAGGTTAGGCTCAGAGAAAATTTAGTTTACAATATGTAAAGCATTCTCCTACTAAGCATGAGGAATATGAGGAAATATATTCAGAATAAAAAAAGTATCACTCAGGAGTCTATATAAAGGCTTAGTAGCTAAAAGGTATGACATGTTACAAATTTTCAGTATCTTACTGCAACTCTAATAGTTTCTGATAGATAAATCACTATTTCTTATTTTATTACTCCATGAGAAACAATCCAAAAGAAGGAAGTGGATGCCAAACTGGGCTAAGAGGTAAACAAAATTTTACTTACGTGCAGATTAAAGTTATTGTTATGCCAACAGCATATTTAATGAAAAATTTCAATTTCCTTTTATTTGAGGGAAAATTACAGAGTAGGAATAGCTTGCAGGGGATTTTGCTACATACCATACCAAACAATACTAGGTAGCAAAGTCAAGTTAACTATTTTGTTACTACCAAAACAAGCTGAGCTAGCTGCTTAAGAGAGGAAAAAGGGAGAAGGGGGAAAAAGGAAAGGAGGGAGGGAAAGAAAAAATTGACAAAATAGCGATCAAATCATAAAATAACAATCAAATCATATCACAGCATTCTCATGGGGAACAAATCTATGATTACTGATGGGAAATTTCAGAAAACATAGAGCTAAATCAAAATGTAGCAACAAATTGTTCCAAGGCATACTTGGCAAAGGGAGTTTAGTGGAATGAGCTTATAGCCACTGAAGAAACAAATCAATTTTTGTACAGTACCTCAGTCTAAGATTGGTCTCCAGCTGCATGTTAATATTTGGGGGTGGGTGGGTAAAGGGGAGGAACTGTTTGTATCTAAATGATACACTCATTTGATTATGCTATAATAGCTGGATAGCTTTGGACAAGAGATGAGACTGACCTAAAAAGAAAAAGATCCCTCCTATTTTCAATAATCTGGAAAGAGGTGCATCCACAGAAATAAAATGAGATGAGACAGATACCCAGATAAGCTGGAGAACATGAGCGATAACAAAAGTTTGGTAAATAGAGGAGAAACTTACAAAACCAAAAAACCTTTTTTTTTTTAGATTTACTTAATATTCATGTATATATGTAAGAACTGGGGTGTAGGCCAGAGGTGTAGGGGGTGAGAAGATTCACCAGAGACAGAGTGGGGAGCAGAACAGGCCGATCTACTGAAATAAATGGCTAAGGGGAGCAGCAGGTGGGACAGGAGAAAGAGGTCTGATGTGCTGTATGTGGGTGAGCTCCCTGGCTGGGGATCATACTCATGCTGCAGTGGAGATAGTGCAATAGTGCTGAGACTTTACTCTACAAGGGAGGCCCAAAACACCTACTTTTAAAATTATACATGTTCATGGGGAAAAAAAGTAAAACCCTGTAATTTCTTTATGTCCCCCCAGAATTGTTATATATTTGTACAGATAATTTTTAACTTTTGAATCTCTAGTTTCTCATAGATTTTTGTGTAACCTAGGTAGAAGTTCTCACCATTAAGGGAATTTTGTCAATTTTCTTTTTTAAAGATGTGTTTATTTATGCATACAAGAACTGGGGTACAAAGCCAGAGGTGTGTGGGGGTGAGAGGACTCACCAGAGACAGAGTGGGGAACAAAGCAGTTGGATCAACTGAAACACACTATTGAGGGCAGCAGTGGGCACCATGTGGGTCACTGCCTTGGCTGGGAATGGAACTCATGCTGCAGTGGCTGAGGATAGCTTCCTAGTGCTGTGCTTTAACCTGCTGCGCCACCAGGAAGGGCCTGGTTTTGAGAATTTTTGGTAGGGTTTTCGCTAGGGTTTATTTTAACCCTTCACATTTATTATTAATAACTTTGGTTTCATGTTACACCACCTATTTTTTATACAAGTTATTAAGCTTCCTCACTATCTTCTTTTTTCTATAACTGACAGCTGCTATTTTGGTTACATTTTCTCTGCACTTTTTTTCTTCCATTAGGGATCTGTTTATAAATCTGCCAAGTATTTGCAAATTGAATTTAGCAGGGAATTAGCCAAATATTAGGTATCTAGAAGTGCAAGGAGGGTTTAAGAACAATAATTCTGTTGAGTATAATTCATCATCTCAACAAGTTATGAAGGAAAAACATTATATCATTAATAGATGGTTACCTGATAGAATTCAAACTTCAGTTTCTGACACTTTAATTAATTAAATGATATGTCTGTATATTTAAGGTCATTTATCAGAAATCCACACCAACATCATATTTAATGGTGAAACAGGAAAGACATTCTCATTCAAGAGATTGTGTATATAACCTTGTCACCACTATTATTCAATGCTGTTCTGGAAACAATAGCCAATTCAGTGTTAAATCTAACACTTGCAGGGTAATATAAAAAGTGGTCACAAAACAGTATGAGAAAGGCAATTAGCCAACTTGCATGTAAAAACACATAAAGAAACACGAACGAGAAAAAAAAATACTCCACATCATAGCAGCAACAAAAGAATTAAGTGGAGAAACCTTAGTAATTGTGAGGAATCTGCAATAAATGGGAATTGGAATATGACAAAGATATCTCCAAAAATGTGGTAATATGGTAGAGTGGAAGGAGTTAGGGCAGTGAAATTATTTTGTATGATACTGTAGCCGTGGTTGCACGTTTCTAACCAATGCATATTGTCCATTTTTCCAAACCCATAGAACTTACCAACACAGAGTGACTCCTATGGTAAAACTATGGTTAACAATAACAAAATAATGTACTACATTAACATAAGATATTAATACTAGGGAAAACACTGTGTGGAGGGTTGGGGGAAACTGTTTTCTGCTCAATTTTTCTGTAAAGCTAAAACTGTTTAAATATTAAGTCTCCATTAATTTAGTAAATGTGGTAAGAAAGTGGGCAGCTGGGAAAAAAATGATATTGGGATAGAAAAAATGAAAAATTATATTAGGATAATTGTTTATCATTTAGGGAAACTTTAGGTTTCTCTCTCACAGTAGAGTCTCTTCCTCACTTATGGAAGTGACTACAGGTTTGGCAGGAATCTGGTGTAAGTCATGGACCATATATGCCCAGGTGTCCTGGCTCATTCTTCATCCATTAGCCTGCCCCCACAGTGGATTACAGCTCACTGTGACAGGCTTGCCCCTGGCAGAAGACTGGTTCCATTAACCAGTCACTCTGCCCCAGACTGGAGTGGAGGAAAGAAGAGCAAGCCAATTTTATGCTCAGGTCAAAGTCATGTTTCTCCGCTGTCACTACTAATTTCAGTCTCCTGTGACTATCTCTCAACTGTTCACAACAAGCAGTAGTGGAGAGCCCCCTCAAACCATATGCATTAGATACTCAAAGAACAACAGAAGCAGAAAGAACTTTGTTGGTGCGAAAGTGTTTTCAAGTTTTAATGGGCTTTTCAGTAGTCCTTTGGTTGGGAAGGCAAACATTTTAGACATCTAGTGGTGGAATTACTTTTGACTCACTTTATGTACATTTGCCATGCAGGACAACAGCATTCAGCTAGGTCTCATGTAAGGACCACAGAGTTATATGAGGTTTTAGCTTTTAACAACATGTAGTGGCATTAGTGGGAGCCATGCAAACAGCTGTCTCAAAGTCTACTCTTCACTGTTGTCCAAGGAGAGGACTGAGGAATGACTGACCTTTGGATTTATGTAGCTTGTCAATACCTCCCAGCATGATTTCAAGTTGGCCCTGGGTATAATCCCCTGAGTAGACTGCAGATGCAACTATAGTTGGGTGGTTGATTTAAAGCACTGAAAAGATAAAGGGAAAGGGAGCCCTTATTACTTAGGGATAAATCATCTTAGATTGAAATTCTAAAAATACACAATAAACCCAGAAGTGAAGAGAAAATAAAGATCTCTCCAGGAGTCATATTTGTTCAGAAAAAAGTGAAAACAAAGAGAGAAAAAAAAAAGCATTGGGTTTAAACACACACATATAGTAAGAATAAGGCAAGTGGTAAAGTGAAAGAAAACAAAGGAAGACACCCGACACCCAGATTAATACAACAAATTTTTTCTTCCTAAAAGGTGAATGAGATAATTTAGGCTAATGTTTTTTTTTTTTAAAAGGAAAAGAGAAATACACTTTGGTATAACTGCTTTTTAAGAGATGTGATGAGGAAAGAAATTATTTTTGTTATTTATTCAAAGAAACTGATATGGACCAAAGAAATAAATGGGGAAAAATTTCAGGAGTAAACTAAAACGAGCTTTCAGAAAGAGCCTAGAAATCTAGGGCCTCCTTGGTGGTGCAACAAGTTAAAGTGCAGCACTATGAAGCTATATACAGCCTCCGCGGCACGAGTTTGATTCCTGGCTGGGGGGTGGGGGGGTGACCCACATGATGTGGCAGACCTCTCCTGTCTCATCCGCTGCTCCTCAGCAGTGTGCTTCAAACTGCCTGTTCTGCTCCACACTCTGTCTCTGGTAAATCCTCTCATC